CATGTTTATACACATGAAATAGTTTGAAACAGTTATGTTCATTAACAGTGGAAACCTAAGATGCAAGTCTTCCTTGAAGGTAAATTTTGTATACATGAAACATATGTGGGTAAAGGCAAAAAAAAAAAATAATAAAGGTATTAAAAGAATGATCTGGGCAGAAATGAAACTATATCTCAAAGAAAAGATCTTTTGCAAGGAAAAGCAACACTCAATTTGCAAAGTATTATTATGGTTATTATGACCATTATTCACACATCAGGCTGCTAATGGGAAGCAAGTCAGTGTATCTGAAACAATATAAGTGTTTTCCAACCACATCTGTAAACCAATCTAAAAGGGAAGTTGCCCAAACTTACACACCAATACAACAATATGACAGCACTCATACAAGCAAATTTTGGCAACGAGAGGTGGCAAACACTGCCTGTGAATGTCAGTACCAGCTCAGCACTGATAAGCTTAACAACCAAAAATTTTTTGAGCAATCTTGGCACTGACATTAGTACTTGAAATTATAATGTTTGGCAGGTTCCGTGTCCCATTCCCAGTGTTCCACATCAGTTTCACACGCTGTGCTGAGCTAATGACTACGGTAACACTGTCTTGGAAGGCAGTGTAGCAGTGGATCACTTTTTTCTAACAAAAGGAATCAGTGACAGCTGTCTACACAAAATTCTGTTCCGGTTTAACTGATATCACGACTAAAAGAAGAATAGTAAATCTACAGAATCTGGTTTTCTGTGATTTCCATTCTGCATCCTCAGTTCCCCCTGTCCTGCAATTCCTTCAATTTATTAAACACTCCCACTGAAATATTTCCTGGTACCTCCTAAGCGCTGCTACATGCTATTTTCCCACACGCTTCAGTATCCCCATCATCCTGCACAACTCCAGCTCATCTTTGCTCAGTCTGCCAATGGTGTGCAAGACACAGCTGCCTACTGTCAAATTAATTGATTAATTACTACCAATCAACAGATTCAAAAACTATTGAGGGAGAAGGGCCAATGGATACATGTACATCTGACCCACTTTCCTTGTTGCTTTAGGAAAACAGGCTGAGGAACTGCCCTTCTCTCTAACTGCAATTTTTTTCCATCCCCAAAATAGAAAAACGACAGTTGTTACTACTCAATTGCATCAGGAAGTGTCTCCTTGACAGCAGAAACACAGGAGTACTACAGAGCTATTGCATAACACTGAAGTTTTGCTCATGTGAACAGAATGATCCATAGATATTGTATCACACAAGAGGAAACAAGCACTGAGCACAAGTATTGGAGAGATAGCAAAATAACCTTGAAAAATCACAAGAATTAATGTTAACAATGTAACAGTAAAACGTTGTTTCAAAAAAATTCCACTGCAGACATCAATTAATACAGTTCTCACTCACCCAACAATCTCTTTGGGTGATATAATCATCACACATTCTTCTTTCCATACATGGAGTGCTTCAGAGACTATTAAAGGACAGTGGGAATTTGTCTGAGAGACTGCAGCAACACACAGATTCAAAGGCACAGGACAGCTTCTACACTTTATTTGCACATGAAGTAACTTCTGAGGTTTAATCAAGACACATAACCCCCATAATATCAAATTTCATTGAAAATTTTCAATTTTATTAACTTGAAAATTAAAACCTCTGTTCCTTGAAGGTGCGGACAGCAAAGTAAATACAGGAAAGCCATAAAGTAGGCAGTAAGCTAGCTGACACAAAAACAGGGAGTTTCTTTGCTTCAGGGTAAAATTATGTTTCCTGAGCTTCCCTGAACCTGCTAACTCTGTCAGTCATAATTAGATGACAGTGTAAATATTCTGGAAATTCTGTAGGCATTCTCCAAAAAGAAATCTTACCCATTTCTGTATGTTTTTAAATGTAATTTCTCATCCAACTTGGCTCTCACAAATTTAAGACAACCCACAAAAGACAAATATAACATTATTAATACGGCTCCAAACTGGCTATTTATCATTCTGCCCAGCCACTCTGGTACCTTTGAAAAGAATTCCAACCATCTGCTCAGCCAAGATAAATTCTCCTTTTCCATTAACATTTCACAAGAACCAAACCAATGCAGTGATTCCAGCTAATGCCAGACACAGCATACACAGAGACAGAAAAACAAGAGATTTATCAAGACTCACACATAACGATCAAGAGGCTTTTAGATGAGCAGGGATTTTTAAGACTGGAGTATCCCACACCAAGGAAGAACTTGTCAATCCTAATCACTTGAGTCCTGAAAGTTTCACTTCCACTTTTCCTGAATTGAAACTAAATATAACAATTGCAGTTTCAGTAAAAAAAAAACACCCTAACAAAACAGTGGCTAAAGAGTTTCTCAAACTGTGCCTGAATTGAGCCTTTCTTGGGTTTTTTTCCCCACAAGATACTGAAAAGACTTCTGAAAAACGCAATCCCTTGACAACCAGGAATGTTTCACTTTTAGTGGGAGTTTATTACACACGATGAATAAAGAGCAAAGTAACTTTCAGTAACAAAGAAAAAAGGGGAAAAAATTTTTGTATTTACAGATCCTTAACTGGAATGACAGAAATTTCCAACCTTTTACATACCATAATGGTATTTCATACTTGCATGACTGGTATTCCAAGTTTCCACTTGCTACAGAAGTGCCAGAAATTACAGTACTACCCTAGCCCTCCTTCCATATGGAAGCGAAAAGTACAACCAATCATTAAAACACGACCACAAAAAACGTCCGTAAAAGTCCAAAAGTTCAGGCGTGAGTTCAGGGGAGAACTCTGATGGCTTGGGAAAGACAGCACAGGAGACACAGAGAGAGGTGAAAAGCACGGACGGCGCGCCGAGCAGCGCACGGACCGGGCGCAGCCAGCGAGCTGGGGGACAGCTGTTCCCAAACGTGCCTGACGAGCAGCTCCGAATTTTCTCCACAGGTCGCTGAATGCCAACATTACCCTTACACCCGCGGCGAGGTACGAGCTTCATGCCGCGGGACCCAGCTGCGGCAGCGGGGCGCCCCGGGCGCGCCCCACGTCAGCGGAGCGCAGGGGAC